GTTGACCTAAAAGTGCATCATGTTGGCGGGGTAGGGTCCGGGCGGATTTGTTGTTCACAGTTGGCTTTGCTGAGAACTGCATTGATATACTTTTACATCCAAGGCCGGAGGCCTGCACAAACTAAGCAAGGTACCTGGAGAACCTGCAAATGTCAAGATACGCCATCTGTAGTTGCCCAGATTGGAACAGCGCCTAATAAATGGGAGCAATGTCCAACGCAACACCTTCCCCTATATATCCCTATACAAACAAAATTGACGCAACGTAACCCAGCAAAAGCCTGAGATTGCCACCCCGCAGAAAGCCGGTTTCAGATTTATGGTGCGCGTTCTTGCCAGAAGCGGCCTGACATGAAACCCACACTGCGAAACTGCCCATGCGCACTCGTGAGTGCAAATGAGTGTGTGTGTTCTTTGATACCACCCCGTTTGGAGTGGTTTTCCAGGGAAACCAAGCAGAAGCCCATTTTGGTGGTCCCCCTACTTGGACACCTACCCATGTCTGTGATCATACCTACCTTTCGCCGTGTGCCGGGCGAGAGTTTCCCGCACGCCTCGGAAGGCCACGCGAAGCACAGTCTCCCACTCCTACGGGAAGGCCGATGCAACATGGCTCCAACATTGTTCCCTTGGCTGCCTACAATGCCTACAACACTGGGAAATGGAATCACTGGGTTAAACATCCTCCAAAAAGGAACTCTGGAGAATCGTTGAGTGGAATTAAAGCCGTGAAGTCACTAACATCCACAAGGCCACTAAAAGCGGCAAAAATGCTGCCGCCTCCTGGGTCCTGGCTTAGTTCAAATAGGATGCTGCGAACGTCTGTGCTTTCTAAACCCGACACCGTACCGGAACCCCAACCAACCGTTCCTGCTGTTTCCCTTTGGCCGAAAACAGCTGCACCATCACTGCTCAACATCATGTGCCCGGAATACACGCTGGACACTTCGAATCTCTCACACGCCAGCCATCCCCCCGTCTTAGCGGCCCGGTCTCGGCGCGGTCCTCCTGGGAGAAGTTCGCCTCAAAGCGCTCCACGCAGAGCTGCCTTTGCACCAGAAAACTCTGCGAATTTCAGGTGTCCCCTCGGTTGCGTTCTGTTCCCCTGCTCAAAGTTTAACTTTTAGTGTTTTAATTGCACGCTTGATCGATCCTCTTGCCTCGACGGCCCGCCATGTGCAGCCGGAGACATCTGACAAAGGTGAAACGAGACATGCAAAGGGAACTACACACCACGGGTCCTCTGGTTCTTAGTCCAAAGCTGGTACCTGCGAAATCTCAGTCGTGCCTGCTCTTCACTCTCCGGTGCATCAGGCACCGTGGTGAAGCAAACCGAGGAGGGATCATGAAAGTTTTCAAAGCCAAGATGGGGGTTCTGTCGCAAACGCTCAAGGAAGTCACAAATTTTGCCAATGGTTTCACTTTGTTTTGGAATCACTGGGCGTTGCAAGAAACCTCGAGGCGGGCGCCGTCGGTCACCAAGTAACTGCATGCTCCTCACAAATCCCCTGGACGGGATTGCTGGAGCATCTCGTCCTACAAGGCTGGTCAACTGACGGAGGCTGCTGTCGAAGGCTTTGATTGCCCGGGCTTCAGTCTCGAGAGCGCTAAGCAATTGAGGTTCATGCCTCGGGCTGACATATCTAGTGAAACTTCCTTTTTGGAGGTACATCGGGATGTATTCACCGGTGGTTAACTGAAAGTTTACCAAGAGTTCAAAGTGAGAGATGCCGGGGTCATCATCAACTGGCGTGCTTGGCCAAACAAGGCTTGTCCACCACTGCCACAAAAGGCGACCATATTGGTCGCCCCACACGAAAGCACGGATCAAACTCGGATGCAGCGGCTGATAGGCAGGATGGGCCGCCTTACTTTCCCAATTAGAAAAACGCTCAATTTTTTCGTCGAGTCGGCTGACTGACGAGGTAGTTGAGGCGCCCTTCTGAATTGTCTGGATGCAAGTATAAGCTTTCCTATGCGCCTGAATCAAGTACAACCAGAATGAACCGAGCAGTTTTGTTGTGGCAATGCGCCATTTGGCGATTTGGTCAGCTTCGGTGATGAGTCCCTGGTGCCCCTGGCGGAGAGCGGCCTTTTTTTTTTGTCGTGTTGACATGGGGCGCACTCTTCCAGGAATGCAGTAAAGGAGAGGGCTCCTACAAGGAAGCATCCTCAAAACAAGAAATTCAGCTCGGTCCGTAGTCCAGAACAGCTAAGCAAGCACCAGACATCTATGATCCTGCATCAGAAGAGACATGTCACGCGTCTGGGTCGTGAGCGAGAAGTTCACATCCAGAAACACCACAAGTTCCCAACGTTTCCTCCTGCACGCGTCAAACTCTCGTTTAAAAATCTCCCTAACCACAGCATCCATAACACAATAAACCAGAAACAAAACAAAATCAGCAAATGAACAAACAATCAATCACGAACAACTGTCCTGGACGCGGAGCTCAGCATCGGTGGATTGGAGACTCCAGCCTATCTCGGAGCCAAGGTTTCACATCCGCTGAAGCAACGTTCCACCTCAACCACGTCAGTACTCAGACTCACCGCACCCCAACCACCAAACTCCGACTTGAGGATCCCTCAAAACCTCTGAATTCCGGCCATGAAGTCACGAAGCCAAAGCAAAAGCGTGCATCACCACACGAGACCGTCTCGGTCCTTTCACGTTCCTTTCTTCTCACCTGCAGGCGCATCATCCTGCACAGTCAGTCCTGGAGCGCCTCGACCGCTCAAGGCCTCTAGAGCCCGCTGGGCGGCGGTCTGCTCCGAGTTCAATGCTCCAAGAATGGCACCAGGCAGGACAGCCGCCGCTCGAGAGACACCTGCAGCAAGTCCAGCGTCAACCTCCTCCTCTACGCCACTCTTCAATCCAACACCATAGCCGCAGTCCGACATCTTCTCCAAACAGCGCTCCGTGAAAGGCAATGCGAAGCCGATCGCCAATCCATCCATGGCAGCGAAATTGGCCCCAATGACCGTAGGCATCTGCCCAGCCGTGACGTGGATGAGGAGAGCTCCAGATGAGCCAGGAGTGACATCTGCCAGGTAAGCAAGGAGGCCACCCTCCGTTTGCTCAACAAAGTCAATGATGTGCAGGTATGCTGTAATTGCTCCTTGGCCATCTATCTCCCAAGTCGCCAATAGATAGTGTCCACTCTCGTTCATGGTGGGATCGAAAATCCCCAGAGATGTCCGGCCGGCGACTCGGAAAACATTGTCCCCAGAAGAGAGGGCGACGATCCCATCGCGAACCGATGAATACCACTCCAGCAAGCACGCAGAAGTCAGGGGAAAGTCCCTCCTCGCCGCGGATTTGATTCCAAGAATAGCACGGAGCTTCGAACTCACGGCCTGCCAGATCCCCACTTTCTTCTCCCCCCCTTTGACACCAAGAAGAGACCCAACAACATGATGCACAGTGAGCGCACACCAAGGGGAAACAACAAGACCAGATCCAAACCCATCACCGACCTCAAACCGAACCAGATCCGCCAACATGGCGTGAATGTTCTCAGCCTCCAATTTGACATAGCACTGCTGCAGCTGATCTTGGAGAAACGCTTTCGTTTGCAGAACAGACGCAAAGACTCCAGAGTCAACGATCTTCGCAGAACGTTTCTCCGCGTGAGGGGGGCCAGGATCATCAGCAACCTCCAAAGCAACTATCGCAAGCAAAGCAAATGGAACAGCTCCAGATCCAATCAGTCCATAAGCTGGCACGGAAAGCGCGATGCCGATCCACCTGCTGCGATCCATATCATATTTCCCAATTGCCGCCTCACGGATGGCGCGCCAAATTCCATAGGCCCAAGCCAAAGGGAGCGCCACCATGTTCGCCACCACCAGCCAAGCCTTATCTCCTCGAGAGACAAGGTAAAGAGCCCACAGGCCAAACAGCAAAACCAAAAGGACTGCCCAAGTCACCCAAATCGGTCCACTGACAACGGTGATAGCAATGCGGAAATCACGGACCCCACAAGCGGCACAACCACTCCATCCAGACAGCAGCGACAAAACCGCAGTGACGAATCTGGGTGCATCTGAGCGCATCAGATCTTCCGCCCAGCACCAAAGGCCCCACAGACAAACCAGAATTGCCGTGAACCGTACTCGCCAAACTCCAGGACTGTGCCTCCACATCACGTATCCAGACAATAGGACCAAGGCTCCAACCAGCAACCGCGACAGGCCCCACTGCTCACAATATACAACAACAAAACCAGCAATGACATTAAATACAGTATCCATGAATCCTGTGTCAAACCTCCGATTACTCAACAAAAGAACATTCAGCATAATAGAAAGAGCAATCCAGAACCCCACGACATGCCCATAGAGCCAACTGTCAGCGCGATCACCACCGAGACAACCAAGCCCCAGACAATGGCGACATCTCTCTTCGGCGGCACCGCATGCACAACAATGGAGATCACCAGGCCTACCCCAGAAAAGATGGCCAGAATCGTGGCGATCGCCGCGGAGTGCACCTTGTCCCAAGAGGAAACAAAGCCTCCCTGAAGGCGACGAAGATCACCAAGATCGAAACAAAAGCCCAGGTCTGAGGTGCCAAGGTCTCCTGAAATCTGCCGGCACTTCTGGCTCTCCACAGGCATTTCCCAATTTGCGCAGCGGCGAGGGACAGCCAAAGAGACACGCCCACCTGCGACCTTGTAGCAAAAGGAGTTCACCGCCACGTACTGTGTGACCTGGTGATTCAAGACGGGGATGACTTCCAGGATCAATCCACCGGCTCTGTAAAACCTGCAACCTTGCCGGGCTGTTAGTCCTGACTCGGATGGGGTCATCATGCCTCTACACCCCCCTCCGAACAAGCCTGGCAAATTTCCCTTCGCCCTGCATCCACAGAAAGCGCTCAAGGAGATCCCACCGTCTCGCATCATACAGTTCTCAAGGGCGACTGGGTCCGGAGCGAAATGGGTGGGCACATCGAATTGGACATCGGCCCACTCATACGAGGCCACCAGGGAGGTCCTATACTCCATCTCGCACTTTGTAACCGCCCGTCGGGGCCTCCTCCAATCATTAACAGCACAAACACTCTTTTTGTTAAGAAACAACAAGTTGAGCGCCCACGACACGAATGCCTCCTGATCAAGCTCTTTCTTGGACACGATGCGGGCCATGCCCCACAATCCATCCAACGGAATTGTGCCATCATTGGCCTCCACAAGCTGAACCCAATCTTCGGCTACTCCTTGCAGCTCCGGCGCCAAAGGCGTCTTCCTCAAATGAAGTCCACCAAGCGCCCGAAACGTTAGAGCCAACTCTGGAGATTTCCTGGCACAGAAGTCCCTTTTGCTCAACACTTCATCACCAACGAACTCCGTGCCATTCGCTCCGAGAACCAAGGAGCACCAATCCGACTCATCATCCATGTCATTGAGCGCGCTCAAAAGGAAAGCGCAATGGGTCCCTTGTTCCAAGACAAATCTATCATCAAACTGGTCGAAGCTGCTCCGAACGTCCACGCATGTGTCTGCGTCATACAATGGGGACAGCTCCTCCGGTGCGCCACACAAGGCACGCAAACGGACTTTCGTCATGCGCACTCTGGCCTCCGTCGACACCGGAAAGCATTCATCTGTTCCGAGACTGCTCAGAAATTTCCTATCTTGGGTGCAGTTTCCACCACAGGAATAAGCCAAACACTGAACACCACTTGCATGCGGAAGTGGTGGTGAAAGTGCTCCGAGTGATGAAGCTAGTCGTGCTCACCGCAGGCCTCGTCCTGGTAGAAAGAGTAGTGGTCAAAGTAGAAGTGGTGAGCAATGGTCCGGTGGAGCTGACACGTGTACCTGTCCGAAGACCTCTGGAGGGCGCTGCAGCCCCTTCAAGAAACTCACCACCAGCAGCGCCAATCTCCATGCTGCTTTCTCCATCCCCCACACGCTGCCTGTCACGATGAGTAACCTCCGCGTCCGTCATGGGTCTCCATTGAACTCCGTCATGCAACCAGCGCAGCACAGCAGCGACTCTTTCTTTCTCGTCCAAAGAGATCTCTTCATTCATGAGATACTCAAACATGTGGTGATCCTCCATCCAGATGAAATGGATCCCGGCGTCAGCTCCCCGCAGGTTCCCTTCATTCACCAACCGTTCCATTTCCCATCCTTCTCCCATGACTCCTTGGAGGAAGAGCCAGAAGAAGAGCCACTGCCTCCAAACTTCCAGCAAGGCCCATGACCTTTCGTAGCATCTCCTCCGCACAAGATGCATGTTTTCAGCTCTCGCCATACGGCAGCACGAATGAGAGATGGGATATGAATAGTGAAAACTGCTGCAATAGAAATGAAAACGGAAATCCAGAGGACTCCCGATGGGCTCATGTGATGCTTCGCAACCTCTAAGGCTCAAGTTACCTTGAGCCAAAATGGCTACGGACTTTTAGTGTTTTAATGGAAAACCCACAAGTTGGCAAAAAGTTAAAGTCCTAACATCCAAGCAAAATGCAACAAAGTCCCTTTGATGGTCGTTTGGGGATGTTTGGATTTGGATTTGAACCCCTGGTTCTCGTAGAGGGTAAATGGGAAACTACGCCTTAACCACCAAACCACCAACCCAAACCACCAAATAGGGGAAGCTACCTATATCTTAAACAAAACATATCCACCAGAGGGACAAAACATGGTGTTTCCGCGTTGGTTTCTCTTAAAAACCAGCCAGAAGGGTCATTACCCTTACAAACACACCCAAAGGAAGAAACATGGGGCAATCCAAAACCCGTTTCCACAATCCACAGTGGGACACCACGAAAACCCAGGAACCACCACCATCTCGCATAAGGATCAACTAACAGAGCCGTGTGACAAAGAACGTGCTTGCTTGGCTTTGAAGAGACCCGAACCAACACCACCCAATCTTTCCTGTGGGCGGGAGGCTCCCTTGGCGTTTGGAGAAAAGCTCATGTCGTCCTTGGTCCTGAACCGAACGGCAGCCCAGGTGCACGGCGCATGTTTGACAGGCGTCCAACGGGGCCAAGGCAGTCTTGCCATCTTTACCCTCGACGGCAATGTGATGAAACTGCTTCTGGCCCGTAGTGTCGGATACCACCATCTCCTGGAGCGGCAAATGACTGCGCCGGTCGTCTTGCCGGTGTGCAGGGAATCAAGAGGGGTTTTGTGGACGAAGCTCGGAATCCGCTTACAGGAAACGAGAAGACAACTCGTTCATTGCAGAGATTCCTGATTGTTCACTGAGATCTGGCAAGTTGGATGCGCATGGAAGCCCCCCATCTTTTCAGCCCTTCTGCTCTAGCGCTCATTAGCAGACGTCCCCGACTTGGCAGGCCAATGTGAGAAAACTGCACCGCACGGCATGCCCGATCGGTTCTCACCAGCGTTCCAGCGTTGGCCAAGCTCTTGCTTCCATGCCTCAACCACCATTGCTTAAACAACTCTTTTTGGGCTTCCCTTCAAAATGGGACCAGAGTCAAGCTTAAACAAATGGCGCCCCAACCTTCTTAAATGATGTCATGCTGCTATTCTCATTGGGGTTCTGGGGGTTCGACTGAACATGTTTACCCTAGTTGGACACGGGAACTTGCAAGAGAGAGAAAGAGTCCCACGGTATTTGGGGTCTCCATCCTAGGTTGATCATAGACTGGATAACTTGTCCCTTTTTCTGGCACGACACGACCCGGGACTCCGACGAGTGCATGGCCCCGAATCGCTGATATAAAGAAAGTCCGACATCCTCATGGCCCGCATTGCTTTGGGTTCCGGCCCATCTTGTGGACGCAATGAAGAACCAAGCCTGGGCAAACATCGTCCCCACGCAACTTGTCTCAGAACAAAACATAGGGTCTTAACACCGTGGGGGTGCTCACAAACAAGATGCCAACCTAATTCTAGTTTCAAACATGAAAACTTCAAGGCACAATGACGAACCGGCTCGAGGCGGATGTTAAGCAAAACAAGTTGAACTTTGGCATGGTGGGAGAAAACGCATCGAAGCACGTCCTGAAGCACGTTGAGGAAGTCTCGGAAAAGCTTCGTGTCCCGCATGCCAGCCGTGAGCTCGAAGTCATGAGACTCTACTTGCCGCAGAAAGGGCAAAGAGTCTAAGACGCTGCTACTGAGCTCACAGTTCTCCTCAGAAAGGCTGGCGAGATGCGAAATTGAACGAGAGAGTCAGAGAAGAAGGCCCTTGAAAGGGAAACCAACAAGAAGAGGTCTCGTGCCAATCCAGTGAGACGGACGACTCCAAAAGCCCTTGCTTGCTCCATGCTCGCCGTACTTAGAAGCAAACCTCTACCCCCTTCGGGCAAGGGCAAGGGTACGAAGGCTCTACTAAGACCAATGTAAGAACAACACCAAGGGAGCGTGAGCAACAATGTGCTGCAGAATAAAACACAAGAAACAAATGAGCAAGTACAACAATCAAATGCGATGGCATTTGAGCCAAACTAGTCCAAACAATCAGACTGTCAAGGGCCTTACTTTAATCACCCAGGCACTTGTCAAAGAGGGCTGACTGGAGAAGGCCATTGAGTCGTAGGATTTCAGGCAAGCCACTCAGCCACTCACATAATTTTGAGTGGTTTTAAGGTTGCAAAGCAAACCACACCCAAGGCATCCGGGTGCGTCCTTTTTGAGGTTTCTGAACAGCCCGCTTTGGGACACTCCAGGGTACCCTTCCATTGTTAAATATTCTATCTGAGATGAGCAAACCTATATTTCCTTGTAGCTTTGTGACGTTGGACCAACCTCCTGCGTAATGTGTTGAATACCTACAAGTGTGGTTGAAACACTTTTTTTTGTTGAACCTTCTCAAGGGGCCGAAATGTGTCTGGCTGTTTACTCCCTTCAAAGGAACACAGAGCACAACAATCCACCATTTCTAGAAACATGCCAACCGTTCTTCAGATTGCGAAGTCCGAAGTCTCAATTGCTTCTGGAGGTGCTAGGACTAAGAGAAGGGAGCCTGTTTGCTGGCACGAGCGTCGCGACAATCCCTATATGTTTGAGGGAGCAAACACAATTTCAACCTGTTTGGACCGCCACAGTTTTCTCGACCTACGCTAGGTTTCTATTTCAAAACAAAGGAGGAAAAACACTAAGCAAACCTGGGCCGAAAAGTGTCTGGCTGTTCCAACAATTGCAACCAACCCTGCTGCTTTTACCCATGCCCCACCTCGCCCAGAAAACACGACTCCGCTTTCTGAGGCCGGGTCTGCCAGGAACTGGCGAACGCAAAGCTCGCCCGGGGAGTCGCGCTCCATCTCGAGTAGGATGGGCAAGAGCCGGCTATATTCCTTGGCAAATGAAAGTCATGTTCTGATCATATCCTGGTAATTAGAGGTGGGTCTCTGGATTCGTATTGGGATTGAGGGTGTCCATGCAAATCTGCCTTTCACTTTCCAGGACTGGGTGCGGAGGCAAACTTGCGGCGGGAATTGGATGCAGGTAACGCGCGCACGCGTGGGTACAGATCAAAATAGCGGGACCCTCAAAAGGGTGGGTTGCTTTGGCATGCTGTTAAACCGAGGTGAAAACGGATCACCGCAAACCGCAAACAACACACAACAAACAACAAACAACAAAAACAAAACACCAGACAACAAGACGGGGGGTGGGGGCTCCCCAACTCCATCTTTCAAGTCTTCCCCCAAGAAAGGACAACCATTTCCAGGCTGACCCCCCCTTCCCCAATTCCTTTGTTCCAGGGGGTGGTTGATGCTCAATTTCCCAGTGGTCCAGTGACTCTTTGAGGACAAGCGACCCCTTTCTGGGGCTTAGTGGGCCCCAAACACAGAAAACAAAAAGATAGCATTCCAACTCCTGAGCCTCAGATCCCTTCCACTCCCTCAGATCGAGACGCGTACTCCTCAGACCCCTCCAAATCCTCCAGCACTGCGGCGGTGTTCAGCACGGAGCGCTGAACAGAGCTCAATGTGCAATCACTGGTGACGGAGCCCGTGGAGCGTGTGCTGCTCCCTCAGGTGCCAAAAGAGTGAATACATCAACATCAATAATTAACAAAACAAACCAACAATCAAACAACAACAGTTACCACATTTTTGGAAGATTGTTTTAGTGGTCGTCGTGTATGTATTTGATCCACTGCTAGTGAGCGGAAGGCAGGGTACAAAAACAGACAAACAACCCAGCAAACAAATAAACAAAACAACACAATATGTTGGCTCTTGATGCTTCCTCTCAATGATAGTGCAAGAACTTTGAACCTTTGATTCAGCGACACCTTGCCAATTTGAGGACGAGTTGAACTATCTCGGCAGGCAGTTCCGTGCCGGAAACGCTATGGATCGGTGTGGGTATTGTACACGTATGGTTTGCATGTTTGGATTTGGTCTGGCGCAAACTGAAGACACATAGCAGTTTTTTTGGATTAATGCCTATAAACTATAAATCACAAGTTCTAAGTAAGGGCTGCCCCCAAGCAAAGTATCTTCATGATGGGTAAGCGATCGTCGTACATGCAGAGTGGTGCAGGGTGATGACTGGCTCTACAAGGCCCCCCTATGGCCAATCGAACATGCCACGCGGACCTTGTTGAACATGCGTGTACTTAGTCGACAAGGTTTCAGCTTAACTGACGGCTTCACAAATTGAAAAGGCGAATGAGTTGGCCAGCCGGCCTGTAAATTGCATTGGCTTGAGTTGCAGTCACGATTCCACCCAAATGGCCCGTGCGTTGCCCGCACACATGGTACACTCTCCCTGCGTCTTTGGCAACAGCTTGGCACCTTCCGAGGGTGGTGGAAGTGCTGCTGAATAGCTGAGCACTCTATACCACTATCGCCGACAAGCGTATGGAATTGAAATAACTACATTTGGCTTTCGCATCACCTGAGTCGGCGTGATGTTCAAATTCCCTGGAAGATGGTTGGCCTGCTTTTGGTATCCCTCGAAACCAACCCAACAAAAGGGTACCCACAGCCATATATCATATAATATCAGTATGTGCCATGGTTCAAAGATATATGCTTGCTGGGGTTTCTACGGATGGGTGTGGACCACTTGAGAGCCATTAAAGGGGTTTCTCTTAGACCATGACCATGGCGCACAGCACGAGTTTTACCCACGGTGCACAAGCTTGTGCTTTGGCAATGACCAGCTGCTTTGGAGAGCCGAACTGTCCCGGTTTGCAGATCAGCCACACCGGGCCGGCTCAACTCCTCTGGCAACAGCCCCCCACCCCACGCCGCCGTCCCTGCGCCAACCCCCAGTTGCCAGCTGAGGCGCTTCGCCGGCCTTTCGGCCGCAGCACGGCTTGCAGTGTGGGGCTGTCCGGCCGGGGACTCGTAAGGCTCGGGCTCGCAGGGCTCCGCAGGCTCGCAATGCTCCGCGGGCTTGCAGGGCTCCTTGGATCTTGGGTTCCCATGGAAAAACACTTGGCTGCTTCTGGGAGGACTCACTTCCTGGTGGTTTCAAGGGAAACCAAAATAGCAGACCACCCAGTTTTAGCAGGCTAGGGTCTGGCTGGTTAAACACGTGTTGCCCGACGAATTCCAAGGGGACATTTGTGTGATATAACACAAACACATCTGGCGGCATACAAGAGGGCGTGTGCCCGAGGAGTAAAGGATCCCTGATTCAACAAAAACTGTTCTTGAGGACACCACAACGGTTTGGAGCACTACCTGAGAGACATTATCCCATGTACAAAGCCTGAAACTTATGCCCCATGCAAGCTGGGACTTTTCCAGCCATTCCCCCAAACCGAATCGCAAGACACATCTTTTAGAATGGGACCTATTTTGGGGATTCAAAGGGTTGTGGGACCTTGTTTTGCCTTCTCCAGAAATCAAACCACGCATGCAAAAGTCCATGCATGTCAATCACACCTGACAATAAAATCCGAAACGTTACAAACACCCGAGATTGGGGGTCCATTTCAAAAGGTGAACCAGGTTGTTGTTTGCAGATTTTAACTGGCTAAATCTCTCAAGCATGCTCTCGCGTCCCTTCGTCCAGCTTGAGCTAGTCTCTCACATGCGCCTAAAACTGGGGATGGCCCTGGAATCCGTTTTCCTCTAGGACCCTTTGATATTCTATATCAGGTCAGAGTCCCCTCTCTAAACCAGAACTCCTTCCTCAAAAGCTTCCTGATAATCGGGTCGACCAAGGAAGAAGCGGTCTTTAAGGCGGCCTAGGGGTTGGTCGCTCATGTAGAATTCAGATTAAAGAAGGATGCGGCTGAACAAGGGGCTATATGGTTGGGAGCCAGGGTTTGTGGAGCTTAAACAAAAAACAACGCGCGCATTTCACCCATCCTCTCGCCAAGTCGCGCGGGGCCTGAGCCGTTCTGTGAGCTCCTGGCAAATGGGATCCCCACCCCAACCCCCGGGAAGCGGGGTGCAAGTTGATTGTGAGCTGGAGGAACAAGCAAAAAGCGAAAAGTAAAGATGGGCGAAGTTTGGCAATGGGAAAAGGGCTCAACTCAGGGTTGTCCTTGTGCCAAACCTTTTTGCCCACAAGTCTGCCATACGTTTATTGGCGGACATCTGAAAAGCAAAACCTGTGTCAACAAACACTTCAGTCTTTCTTGAAAATAGTGGTAGCTTCCAGGGAGATGACCTAATTCACCTATATACAGGATTGCACAGTGATCAACAATCACTTTTTGTCGGGGGGGGGGGGTAGTTTGGAGGTAGTTGGAACCTTTGTAAAGAGGGTGAGGATACAGGAACCCTGGTCTATCTATACATGGAGGACAGGTCTATCCATACGTGGAGGACAGCATCCCGAAGCAACTCAAAGACTTTGGTCTCTTGACAAAATATTGGAAAAACAAGAAACATTCCTCACTTACCCGATGCCCACCTTGCAAGATGGTTCTTCACCAAAGGGAAAGCCGTTTTGTCTATTCCTGAGGCCTTATCAATAACATATTCTAGGCTTGTCCAGGTGATGGACCTGCCGTTCATAGCCTCACTCAGGGTGCATATCTTGCTGCTGTAAATCCCTGAGATGCTGGGCACAATGCTTCGGCTGGACTCCAAACTCTGGATTTCGGGGAGCGGTTACCGGTTGAGAACTCCCCTGGAGTGAGACGTCTCCCAAGAGACCCTTTCGTGGTGCAGTGAAGTGCATCAGCATGTTCCACAGCCCGGGTGCTTCGCCGCCATGCCTCATTGTAGAAAGTGTGGGGTCGACCGACAAAACTGGTCAAACAAACTGAATCTGACCTTCTCAAATGACTGGCCGAAAACAGTATAAACTTTGGGTGCGCTGACTACAATGGTGAAAACATAAAGTTAAAAACTGAAACGGTACGGAATCAGGCTTCACCCACCCCTCTCGTGGATATCACGCAACCCCAGCCTCCTCCGCTCGCTGTTGCCTCGGATGGTCAAAAGAGAAGCTCAGCTGTGCCCACGCAGACTTGGGCTATAATCTGGGATTTTAAATGGGCGTGTTTTCCTTGAGGCTCAGAGGGCAACCAAAGAAAACCACCCATTTCGAGGGTTCCCCATTTGGGATGCTTTTTGAGTGGTTGGTGTTTGAAGGGAAAACGAAAGGAAACCAACCAAAACAATACAGCATGGGTCAATTAAACGCAATTGTTGGTGCTCCTTTGGTTCCCTCGAAACCAACCACCAAGCAGTACCCACAAACAATTGCTCACCCGTATAGGACCTGCGGGAAAAGATTGGGTCCCGGCCACGTTTGCTGGGCGGCACCTGCAACATGGAGGGCCGTCCACTGTCCTGGCAAGAAGAATTCAGCCGGGAGGCTTTGCAAGGAGGGTGCCCGCTTGGCTCCCTCGTTTTTCTTTGCTTTTTGGCGCCTTGGACACCACGCCAAGCCGAAACTGCTCTGAAAAAGTGGGTACCTGAGGGTGAAATGATCAAAACACAAAAACACATCTGCAATTTTCTCTCTGAGGTTCTTTAGCTTATTCTTCGCGGAGCCTCCCAAGCATTGTGTCCCCATTTCTGGGACACGCACGCTTCAATTTTGGGTTAGAGGTCAGCAGGTTTAACAGTTGCACCCGAACCCGTGAAAAACTGGACACGGGTGTCTTTCTAAAGAGAACCCCCTCAGGCTGCTTCCACTGACTTCCCTCTACCCACTTGGTGGCAACACCGAAGCTGCATGGGCTTGTTGCAACTGGGATTCGCCCGACTTGTAGTGTGCAGGTGACAATATGGCACTGTGCTTCTACCTTTCACCGAGATTCCCACGCCATCGAAAAACAGTATCAGCACATCAACACATCGCTGCCCGACTGGGCATCGACACATGCCGGCTGGCCAATCAAGTCTCTTGTCTTGAAAAAGTGCTTGAACATCTTGACCGATTCACTGGACGCAGGCACCAATCACAAAGCGCGCTGACTCGCGAGTAAATCCAGCAGCTCCATGTTCGCTTCTCTATATATGTCAACTGTACCAACAGCGATCCCACACATGTTGCAAAAGGGTTCTCCAGAATCTCATGGTGGTTGTGAGGGCTCGAGGTCTTCATCGCCAGCAATTCGTACTTACAACCTCTCGGTTGTGGGGTGCCAGTTTGAAATCGAGGGTGAGCTTTTGGACAACTGGAATTTCACCTGGAAACAAAGTGAACCCATCAAACCGCAACCCGTGGACCCCTTGAAAAAACAAGGTCCAGTAGTGATAATCTCCTTTTAAAACCAACAAGGGAACACAAATAGTCTTTCGCAAATGGAAGCATGGAATCGATTTCTCAACCGACCTGCCCTCAAAGGACACCTCCGGTCTTATGGCCCAGCCTCACGAGGTGACAGCTGCACCGCCTGAGCCTCGCCGCTCTCCTGATGCCAAGGACTCAAAAGTACACTGCTCCTCCATTCAAATAATTTGAGGCTGAAAAGAGTTTAATTTGGAGAACTCCTCAACATGCAACCACAATTTCTATAACCCTCTATATCACGCTCACTTCCCCAATGCCATGGAGATACTCGCACATGGAATCAGGTCAAGCTTGTTTTCAACCCCCCTGTCTTGAGAACTTCAACGTTTAACGTTTCACGCTTACCTGAACATGCCCCAAGCCCTCTTTACGCCCCTCTGTGCAGCTTGCCAGCTTGCCAAATTATGCTCGCACTCTGCTGAATCGTGTACTTGTATAAGCGGGCCTCTGCGCATGATGTTTCGACCGAATACACACCGGAACTGGACCGCTGTTCTATCAGCAGCGAAAGATTTGTGGGCACTGGTCTTTGGAATCAGTTGTCCACATCAACAGCTCTACAAATGGACGAAAGGCGGCCAACCAGCACTGTACCTCGCGAAATACGAGCCATCCGCCGCTGCTCCATGCCTACTTGCAGCCAGCATACTCTAATTCGATCAGACACAGTGTGTGTGTGAAGGTGTTGACCACAGAGAGATTGTTAGTTGCCAGTTATGATATCCCCATTCTCCCAAAGCCAAGGGCTAACATCAAACAATACCAGCGAGACACACACATCAACTTTGCCCCGGACATAGCCAATTTGTTTCTCCAAGAGGACGTAGGCAATTTTAAGTAGGGACTCTCTGGTTTTCATGGGATATGATATGCGGAGGCCCCGTTCCTCACCGTCGCTTTGTCTTGTTTGCCCCGCGTCCTGCTTTTGAGTGTTGAGCACCACCGCTGCTTGCTGTGCACCTTTGGCATCAGCATCCTGGCAAAAGAGCCATCTTAATCAAATTCCAGCTCAGTCTGACGCATAACTCCCTGTATCGTTTGAAACG